ATCCCCCAAAACAGTCAGTGGCAGAAGGCTGGTGTTTGGTTGTGCCAGTGTTTGAGCTCCCTGCAGCTGCACTACCAAGTCACCACCAACTGGGGGGCTTAAAACAGTGGAAGTGTGGGCCAGCCTGTGGCTCATTCGGGAGAGTGCGGTGCTGATAACACCAAGGCCATGGGTTCGGATCCCATATAGGGATGGCCGGTTTGCTCACTGGGTGAGTGTGGTGCTGACAACACCAAGTCAAGGGTTGAGATCCCCTTACCGGTCATCTTTAAAAAAAAAAAAAAAACAGTGGAAGTGTATCCTCTCACACTCTGGGGGTCAGAGTGTGAAATAGGCCTCACCGGGCTAAAGTCAAGGTGTGGGCAGGGCTGGTGCCTCCTGGGACTCCAGGGTAAGACTTGTGTCCTCCTTTCCCAGCTTCTAGAGGCTTTTGCAGCCCTCAGTGTGTGGCCCCTTCCTCTGTCTGCAAAGCCAGCAGCACAGTATCTTCCAGTCTCTATCTGCCTCTTACCCTCCCTACCTCCCCTTTGGGCCCACCTGGATGACCTATGACATAGTCACAGGTTCCAGGGATCACACCTGGGAAGTGTGAAATGTCTATGACCCTCAGCAGCCACATCTGTAGTGGCGGGCAGAGGGCTGGCCCTCCCCTGGCCTTGTTCTTGCTGGACGTGAACACACTTGCATGTGCTTGGCTCTCAGGCACTTGGTGTCGTAGCAGCGGCTCCTTAACTCATGCCGAGAAAACTAGCCTCCATGTGTTCCAGGCTCTGCTTAGTTCCTGGGGTGAGAGGGTGGCCAAGCTCTTGTCTGGCCCTGCTGTCAGTGAAACAGATGTTTCCAGCTATTTTTCCCTGCCCAGGACTGAGGACTACTGTCCTGCGGTGACCACACCTGTCCCTCGTGTGCAGCCTTGACCTAGTGTTACGGTTCTGTTGGAGACCAGCCAGGAGCACCCCAGCCCTGAGGGTGGGGTTTTTTTATGTAGGATGACTCCGCTTTTGAAGGTGGGGCATTGGTGTCCTCGCCTGCATGAGGGCATGGCACTGGCACCTGGTTCATGAGGCTGTGCGCAGGGGACACGAGATAAAACTCACAAACCCAACAACATGGGGATACTGGCTGCATGTCACCATGCCTCACAGTCTAATCTGATTGGCTCTGTTGTGGCTGTGGCTGAGCGTCCAGTGCCAGCCCTGCATGCAGCCATGAGCGCAGGCCAGGGCAGCGACACCTGAGGAGCAGGACTCTGCAGGCTCATGCTGATTCCATGGCCAACACAGGGCTTCTGCCATCTCCGGTTATGGCCAGGAACTCAGCAGAAAGACCACTTGGAAATTAGGCTGACCCACCTCCTTGTCTCAGGATGCAGTGGGGTGGAGACGCAGGGCAGTAGACACTCAGGCTTCTCCCCACATGACCTGGTGGTTCCTCGGTGTCTTTCTCCAAAACAGGCACTGTTCCCTCCGCCTGTCTGTGGATCTGACGACTCTAGGGACCTCCCATGAGTGGAATCACACGGCATTCGTCCTTTTGTGACTGGCGTATTTCACTGAGTGTGATGTATTCGGGGTTCTTCCCTGTTGTAGCGTGTGTCAGAATTTCCTTTTTTAAGGCTGAGTCGTATTCCAGTGTGTGATGGACCACATGTTTATCCCTTCATCTGTCAGTGGACACTTGGGTTGTATCCACCTTTTGGCTGTTGTGAATCAAGCTGCTGTGGACATCTGTGTACAAGTTCGTGTGTGGCCATATGTTTTCTTTTCTCTTAGGTGTGTATCTAGGAGTGGAATTGCTGGGTCACGTGGTGACTGTTCAACTTTTTGAAGAGCTGACTGCCAAAGAGGGTGCCAGGGGCTTGGGAGGGGACGTGCAGTGAGTGTTTAATGGGGACAGAGTTTCACTTTGGGAAGATGAGAAAGTTCTGGAGATGATGGTGGTGATGGTCGTACAGCCATGCGAGTGTGCTTAATGCCACTGAGCTGTGCACTTAACATGGTTAAGATGTTCAATTTTATGTTATTTTTGTGGGTGTACCTGGCCACTAGGGGGCTCAAAATTGGACCTGGTTGTTATCACCACCATGCTCTAACCAACCGAGCTCACCAGCCAGACTTACCATGTTTTGTTTTTTAAAAGAAAGTGTGTGTTGACTTTACCATGGTGCTACGTGTGGGAATTAGTAGACTTTTTTTCTGGCCAGCCTGTACTTTTTAACTTTCTTAGTGGTCTGTCACCAACCCTGGTGCCCTCGTGCATGTGCAGGGCCCAGAACTGGCCTGTCACTGGGTGTGCTAGAGCCTTCAGGCTCCAGCCAGAGGAACCCAAGCAACAGTGATGGGGAGAGGCCGCAGGAGTTGTCCGAGATGCAGAACAGGTGGGACAAAGAAAAGCCACAGCCTTCAAGCCCCCGAGTGCCAGGCTCTGTCCCGAGAGCCCTTGCCTCACCTGAGTGCCACCTGGCTTGAGGCCGCTGTCGAGGTTGAGCTGGACTCAGCACACATGTAAGGGCCAGTCTGCTGTGACTCTGCCATTGTAGCAGGAGTGCCATCATGCGCAGTATATAAACAATGCGGGTGTGACTGTGCCATAAAACATATTTAGTAAACAGGTAATGTGTTTTTGTACCTGGATGTGGCCCTTGGGCCATAGTTCGCCGACCCCTGACATTTACAAAAACAGGTAATGTGTTTTTGTACCTGGATGTGGCCCTTGGGCCATAGTTCGCCGACCCCTGATGGGAAGAGCATCTGTTTCTTGAACCCTTTCTGTTCACATCACTATAGGGGCCCTCGCTCTGACCTGGAATGTGCCAAGCCCCTTCCCACCTTGGTGTGCCAATCTGCTCTCCCCTCTCTAGAATGTTTTTTTCCAGTCTCCTCACCTGTGCTTTTCTTTAGACCTCAGCTTAAATGCCACCTCCTCAGAGAGGCCTTCCTGGATTGGGTTGGGCTGAAAGGGCCCCTGAATGTTCCCTTCATTGTGGCTGGGTGTGAGTGTGTGATTGTACACTGCAGCCTGATGTCCCTGAGCCACGACCTGGTCTAGCTTGGCCCTGGGCCCAGCCTGGCACATAGTCAGCTCTCAGCAACTCCCATGGACCAAAGTGAAGCTCACTGAAATGCACACACATGCTCTCTTGCACATGCAGGTTCAGGATTGCGGTTTCTGTCTTGGATGTCAGGACATTGACGCTGCCACACTTAGAGTGTGGGTCCTTGCTGGGACTGCTTTGACTTTTCCCAGCTCCCTGCCCCTTCCCGAGCCCTCCAGGGCTGAAAGCCATGCTTCCTGGGCAGGCAGAGACCAGAGAGCGTGGACATGGCCCCATGAGTGGCGTGCGTGGCCTTGGAGACAGTCTGAAGCAGGAGGATGGGGATAGGGTGTGTGGGCCGGAGGGTTCTGGAGGCAGTGAGCGGGGGCGTGGGGTCAAGTCTCCGAGTGCCAGAGGTAGGTGGGAGACTTGCCCAGGACAAGGTGGGGGCCAGTGGAAGGTCCCCAGCAGAGGAACCAAGGAAGAGCCCAGTTCATCTCTGTTTCGTGTTACTCTGGCTTCCAGGGCGTGAGAGTGTGGCAGCCAGTTCCACAGGGATGGGGACTTGGCTGCCCTCGCACCCAGCCCTGGGGTCACCACAACCCCCTTGGGGGCCACTGGTGCTGACCTCTCCTGCCCTCCCCACTGCAGGCTGACGGTGGCCAGGGGTCTTGCCCTGCCTGACCATGGACCAGGACTATGAGCGGCGCCTGCTCCGCCAGATCGTCATCCAGAATGAGAACACGATGCCATGTGTGAGTGTCCTCTGCCCGCCCGGCCCTGTGCTCTTATGAAGGGAGAGAGGTTTCCACTGGCTGGAGAACAGGTGCTGGAAGAAAGGCGTCAGCCCAGGCCTTCCCTCAGTGGAGACTATGGCTCACCCCCTGTGTTGAGTCCCCCTGGACGCATGGTCAGTGTGCTGCAGCCACTGCCCGCCCAGTGTGGCTAGGCCTGCCCTGCTGCTGCTGGAGCCACAGACCTGTCAGGTTCCAGCCCCAGGTCCACACAGGGCCTGGGGCAGTCACTCGGCCTCCGCCTCCCTTCCCTTGGCCGTAGTCAGGGCTGAACTGGGTCCCCAAGGGATGAGAAGGTGAGGCACCCAGAGCCCCAGAGCCAGGGTCAGACCCAGCCCCACAGCATGTGCTGAGTGGGGGCTGTGGGGCCACGGGGCTTGCTGGACGGGCAGAGAGGGGAGGAGCCCTTCAGGAGACCTGTCCCTCCTCTGCCCCAGGGCACA